TAAGTGGGAGAACTTGCACAACTGGTGGCTGACTAAATACTTTTTTGCCCCACTGTACATGTGTTTTATCAAGGCCTGGTAAATAAAAAATTCAATGTAGTCTGTTAAAGATTTGAACCTATGCTTCCCCTATTTATTTCCAGAACTCTAGCAGCTGCAACCATCCAATATCCATCTGTCTGTCGGTGTATCTATAGGTTCTCTTATTTGTTTCATGGGCTTTTAAAAACTTACTTGAACTTTAATTTGCAGCTTGTATTACTTTGTAAAGAGGAAAAAGCTAATGTTAAAAATCAATCAATATAAACAATTCATTCCACTAAGGGCATCAGATTCCAGCAACTTGCTATCTTACATGCTTACTTAGATCTTGATACTAAATGTTTCTGATTTACTTACCTTTCTCAGTAAAGTATGGTCGATTTGACCCAGAAGATCGACGGAGCAGGCACTGTCCATACCTGGACACCATAAACAAGTCAGTATCAAAATGAAATTGTATGTGGGGAGGGCATCAGTGAATGAATAATTGTATTAAAAAATGGGTCCATGCAGAGACTGAAAAAACACATTGCTGCATTAGAAAGCTGTCTGTAGGAGCACCGTTTAATCCTTGGTGTCCCCCTTTATTAAACGCTACCAGCATAACTCTTAACACCCCAATTGAAGCCTCCTTTGGCAGGAGGATCCTCTAGAAAATAATTCCTGTGAAGGGCTTGGAACAGTCCTAATCCAAGATCCTGCCCTCAAGAAAAACTCTGGTAGGTCCCACTGTTGAATGCCCTGGGCTGTCCCTGTGACGTTTCCTTTTCTGTGGCAGAGACTCCTCAGAAAAGGGGGGAAACATCTTTGGTCCCCCTCAGTATCCGTAGCCAGATGCACGTAGTTCTCACATGTCTCTCCCTTATTCCTCCCTGGCCTATTGCTCCGAAACTGGGGGAAGGGCTTTCTTTCAGAGAGTGGAGTCAAAGAAGTCCCTTCTCAGATGTTTCGACTGGGCTGAAAACATTGCATTCAGTGATTTGATCCAGGAAGAATCTTCTTCTGGGATGACATCAGATTCTGAGCATTTCATTTTCACTTTCCCAGATTTCAGAGAATTAAACGTTTGTGTAAATTGAAAAAAGTTTTTCTCCCTTTTTCTGTTAAGAGTATATTACTTGATTTGCAAACATAGGCCCCTTTCTTATGCAGAAGAAAATTGAGGAATCTGAAGTAGGCAAGAGTCCTTGAGAGTGGCACATGTTTATAGCATACCAGAATTATATACAGGAATCTAATACTTAATATTATTTCCAGATTTTGTTTTGAGGGGAAAAGTCCTTGGGAGAAAAATCTCTAGTCTTCTTCCTACAGCTTTAAATCTTTCCTTCTAAGTCTTTAGAGAAAAAGCAATATGTTTTTCTGTTTGAAGTACTAAGATGAGGTAGGAAGGGTCATCTCCAATTTAAAAGCGGTGGAACCGCCACCATGGGGTGGTGGGGGGTGGTATTTTGTTCCTCTGCATCTTCTGTCGCCTCTTAGAATACCCCTGTAATGCATTATTTGCATCTCCTAAATTCACTGGCATGGTATTGATAGTTCTGCAATGTTAAGAGGGCCATCTTCTGCCACTGCAGGAGCGTCCTGGATTTTGACTTTGAGAAGCTGTGTTCAATCTCACTCTCTCATATCAATGTCTACGCTTGTTTGGTGTGTGGGAAATATTTCCAGGGTAAGTCTGTTTCTGTCTCTTATACCTCTTTTTTGACAGTTGGCATAGGAGTGTGCATGTAATTCTTGGTCAGCTTAGTAGGAATTTTCATGCATAGTAACTGGGGGTCTTGCTGACCTTGATGAGCTTCATCTTGAGCAGGTATTAACTGATCTCAAATGTAAAATGCAGGAATGTCCAACTATGAGTTGTCCTAAATGAGAGATCAGCGCTTGAAATGCAGCATTCACCATTCCTTTCCATTAGGATTGGCAGGGTATAATGCCATGGAGGTATCAGTAGCCGCAGCCAGCTGACACATAACAACTGACACCCCCTTCTCCCCGCCTTTCTCGCCTCTCTTCTTTCCTGTTTGTAGTGCGCAAGCCTGGTCTTTTTTCTTCTTCTTCAGCTTTGCTTTCATGATTCATTGAAGTTTTTCAGATCACTGTTGGCCTGTCACATTTCCTTCAGCACTTCTCAGCCAGTCTTACAGCTCACTTGCTGCTTGTTGGAAAGAATAAGCCCCTCAATCTCTTTCCTGCCTGCCCTTCCTTTTGATCCTTTTGTATCTTAGCTCCTCTCTGGCCTACACAGCCTGCCCTTAACCCAGGCCAAACTGACCACTTTCCTTTTCCTTTTAGAAAATGGGCTTGCACCCCTCCAGTGCTCTGGAAGCTGGCCAAACAGCAGCCTCCCTTCATTATCCCAGCAGGGTACCTGCAGGAATTAATTGGGTGGCTGCAAGTCCACTCTGCATGGGCTTCTTACTCATGGGGTTTCTCTGCCTCCCGTCTTCTCCGCAGGCCGGGGCCTGAAGTCACATGCTTACATTCACAGTGTCCAGTTCAGTCATCATGTGTTCCTCAACCTTCACACCTTGAAGTTCTATTGCCTGCCGGACAACTATGAAATCATTGACTCTTCTCTTGAAGACATCACTGTATGTGGCTTCCTGGTGAAGGGGGGAGGGGAGAGGTGGGATATCCAGCTCAGCTCAAATCATAATAGTAAAAGTGTTCCTTCTCAGACATTCACCCCACCATATCCTCCTTTGTTGCCCCTTCCCATCCTGCCATATTGTGCTGGAAAGCTTTGAACTAGAGCTTTGTCTGTTGCTATAGAAGTGCAGCAGAGGGGAGGTTTTTAGCCACCCTCCAAACCTAGTGTTTATGTCCTGGATTGTAATGCTGTATTTGTATATTGTAAGCTGTAAACAAGTCAGTTATACTCCTCCTTCCAGCTTTCTCTGTCCTCTCTGGCAGCTTCCATGTTTAATGACTCAGCCTCCCTGAGCCAATATATGTATTTGTTAAACTTGATCAATCTGCCAAACCATTGGTTCTTTTAATTTTTTTTTTAAACTTCTTCTGGAATAAAACAAAAATACCTATAGAAAACAGTGGCAAAATCCAGAATGTTAATTGAGATTTAAGTGCTGGCTGTATGATCTCCCCTATCTGTAATTTTCTGTTCACCACTCGATAGGAACTCAGGAGGCAATTGGGAAAAATAAAAAGATGCCCCTCCCTCAGTTGGCTAGGAAAATGGGGAGCCAGCCCAGTAGTTCACCAAAGGGGGATTAGAAATTGAAAAATTCTCATCCCAATTCTCAATCCCAATAATCTGGTTCTAAAATGAAAGCAATCCAGTTGTTGAAACTTCTGTAAGCCAATCCCTCTCCCTTTCAAAAAATCTGGTTAAAGAGGATGTTTGCTTTTATTTAAGTTGGCTGCTAAGAACCTGACACCATCCCTGCCTCCACATATGATACTGCAGAAAAGATGAGAGTTTCTATGTTCAGTTCAACCTGAAAATTTCTTTTCCAGGTTTTCCTGTCCAAATTCACTGTTAGAGAAAGTAATAATAATATTGCATTTATCATGAACTATTAAGCTTAATTTGTTTCAACTTTAATTGACACTCTGAAAGTTTGAAGATCCTATTAGTATTTGCCCTTTGAGGAGAGTGTGTTGTTGTACCAAGCGGGCATGAGCTGAATGATCTCTTACTTTCAGTGAGAACAAGTCATAATTTATTTGTTTACAGCTTACAGTGGACTTTCAGTGGAAGGTCCTCTCTCTTGCTTACTCCCTCCTTGCCGTCTCTTGTTTTCCAGTATGTGTTGAAGCCCACCTTCACCAAGCAGCACATCACCAACTTGGACAAACAGGCCAAACTGTCACGCGCCTACGATGGCACTACATACCTGCCAGGCATTGTTGGACTGAATAACATAAAAGCAAATGATTATGCAAATGCAGTTCTCCAGGTACTGTGCTGTCTTTGAAGTGGAGAAGAGTAAGAAAACACACTACAGGTAGGCCTCGTTTAGCGACTGCCTCACTTAGCAACCGTTCGCAGTTACGACGGTGATGAAAAAGTAACTTTATGACCAATCCTCACATTTACGACCTTCGGAGGTCTGTAAAGCAAAGGAAAGCTGAAGTAAGATCATAAGTATGGTCGCAGTTTCACTTAGTGACTGCTTCACTTAACAACCAAGTTGCCAGTCCCAATTGTGGTTGCTAAACGAGGACTGACTGTAGAAGGGCAATATTTATTCCGCAGATATTTATTCTTACAATGGTATTGGACAGAAATAGGAATCTGTTACACAAAAACTGCTTTCATGTTCAAGAGTTGCATTGCTTTAATTCTAGTTTCTAATCTGATAGTAACCAGTAGACATTTGGAGAGGGAGAGGCTGAACATGTAAGTAAGTAAGTGTGTGTTTTGTCACTGATTGTGAGTATTTGTGTACCCAGGCATTGTCAAATGTCCCACCCCTGCGGAATTACTTTCTGGAGGAAGAGAATTACAAAAATATTAAGCGCCCTCCAGGGGATATCATGTTTCTGCTGGTTCAGAGGTTTGGAGAACTCATGAGGAAGCTGTGGAATCCCCGGAATTTCAAAGCTCATGTCTCTCCCCATGAGATGCTGCAAGCTGTGGTTCTGTGCAGTAAGAAGAACTTCCAAATCACCAAGCAAGGTAGGATACAGGAGGAATTCTGGGAGAAACAGGTGATGCTGAAAACAATATGCTGGAAATTTGTGATGATTGTTCCGCAGAATCTTGAACTTGGCCATCTGGTCATAGCAAGCACATGACCATTATGCATCTGAATCTGGAGTATTCACCGTTTGGATATGAGGGGGAACAAAGGGGTGAGACCACCACTAAAAGGAGAGCCAATATTTCCCCATGTGTTGTCCCCTTCTGAAAAGTTTAAACCTGTTATGGTCTACTTCATGAGAAGGAGATTCTGCTTTAACGCTGGACCCCACTGCCAGGTTACAGTGGTGTTCAAAAGAACCCTTCCTTTCATGGCCTTCATCTTCTCCCGCTTTGCAGGTGATGGAGTTGACTTCCTTTCCTGGTTCCTGAATGCCTTGCACTCTGCTCTTGGGGGGACAAAGAAGAAGAAAAAGAGTAAGTGAGAGGTATCGATGCCACTGATAATTTATGTGGCATTTTGTAAGAGTATGTGAAGCTTCAGGGTTTTGAATAAAGCCCCTTCAAAGCAGCTTCCTGAAGCAGTACTGGTCCGGTCACTTCTAAGACCAGAACCAAATGAAGTGGTCACTTTGGAGCCCCTCTCGGTGTTCTCCCAGAGAGGAGCCTTTTTCAGCTAGGTTGAAAGGAGCTTTCTGCTGCAGGGATGACCAGGGCATCTCCCAGGCTGTGAGCTGCAGAGGAGTCCTGCAGCACAAGCTAGAGGTGGCTGCCACAAAACTGCCTTAGTGCATCTAGAGGTTTACAGGAGTGCTGCCTTGTCCACCCCTCCAATGCCAGTGGGGAAAAACTCCTGGCTGGTGCTCCTATGGCAACCATAGCATTGTCCATTACCAGCACTTGCTTGCTAGAACTCCTGGCCAGCTCGTCCTGGGGGAGATGAACCAGCGGCACCACCCACTTGGTTCTCTCCAGTGCTGTGTGAAACAGAAACTATGGCCAGTGGGTGACAAAGGAGGTGGCTGTAGTGTGTCACCCATTTCTTCAGCCACACACTGAAAATGTCCAGGTTCAGCGGCTTTCGTGAAGGATTGCCTGTAGAGGGTGAGCACTGATCTAGGCTGGAGATCCTTCTCGTGCACAGAAGGTCTTCAAGGCTAGATAGCCATGAGATACTAGGCAATTCTAAAACACCTTCCAACAAAATGGATACCCATGCAACTTTATCAAAAAGTGCCTGACCATAGAACCTGCTACAGCACAACCAATACAACCCATGAAAAGGATAACACTCCCATACATCAAAACATTTCACAAATAACCAACAGACTACTACAAACACATGGCATCACTGTAGCGCACAAACCAACTAAAGCCCTCTAAAACATCTTAAGCAAACCAAAAGATCCAGTAGCCCAAGAAGAAAAAGCAGGAGTCATCTACATGCAAAGACTGTAACAGCCACTATGTAAGACAGACAAGCAGAAGACTAGCAGAGCCCATCCATGAACACCAACTAGCAGTCATAAGACACTCCTTAATCTCACAACACATGGACAGACTCAACCACAGTTTCAGCTGGGAAGCTATTAGCATCTTAGGCCAAGCCAAATCCAAAAAATGCTAGGGAATTCCTGGAAGCTTGGCATTCAGACAAATCAGCCATCAACAGACACATAGAGCTAAACCACATTTATACACCATTCAAAAGAGACAGTAAGAAAGATAAGAAGGAACCAAAAAGGACCAAAACACATCCCTCCAGTAGCCAACACCCAGATAAGCAGGGATTAACACCAAAATACAAACAAGCAAAAAACAATGTCCTAATCAAGGAACTACCAAGGAGGAAACCACACCCCCATCAAAACTGGCAGGGCAAGCTACTGTATATAAACAGGGAACAAACCCCACACCTATTCACACTGATGATGTTACCTAGTTGGGTAATAAAACATCTGCAAGTGAACAACCAAGAACTAAAGCCACCCAGCCTGAAGTGTGAGCCCAGAATTGGATATAGTACTCGAGGTGGGGTCTGACCAATGCAGAATCAAATAATTCCCATGACTTGCAAATTATACTTCTGTTGATGCAGCCTTAAATTGTATTTGCTTCTTTTGCAGTCCATTGTACTGCTCTATCTAGTTTTTGACTGCCCTACCTCCACAAAAAGCAAGATTTTTCCACAGATTCTTTATCATGATTTATTGAACAAGGATAGGAGAAGGTGACAGAAATCTCAGGAACTGGATTTTTGTTTTTATAATCCAGTTTATCTTCTAGGTTTCTAAAGGCTTTCTTAGTCTCTTACTCAGTCTCTTTATGAACTAGAGGCTGTTTTCTTAACTGAAAAAAGAGAAACATTCAGATGGTTAGGATGTGAATCTCTCTCAGGCTCTAAAAATACCATTATGTGATAGTATATATTCAATTTACAATCAACTATTATTTCAGTATCATCCTCACATGTACAGTTATCAAGTGTTCTTGACCAATTCACATTAACGTCTGGTAATTGCTACATTTTCAAGAGTCTTGGACTGACATTGATGCCTAAGAGTTTTTAAGCAGATTGTAAAGAGATCGACGAAACTCATCTGTTGTTTGCTGAACCTTCTTTTCCCCTTTTTGAAGCTAGGAACAACATTTACTCAAACATTTCATCAGTTCTCCAGCTTTTCTCTCTGTATACACATATAGATATTGATAAACACGTGGTTTTGGCCAGATCATCAGGTCTTTCAGCGCTCTAGGTTGCCGTTCATCTGGTCCTGGAGATTTAAACTAATTCAGTTGAAGAGGCGTTCCCTGTGTTTAGAAACACAGTCTCAAGCTACAGTCCTGCCTCTTCCTCCTGGTAGAACACAAGATCTTTTTCTTTTCCTTCTCTTATGAACATGCTTAAAGAATCTCTTTTCTTACCATCCTTTGCTAATCTTAGCTCATTCCTAATGTTTGCTTTCCTGACATTAACTTTGCAGTACTGGACCACTGGACTATACTGTTCCTTTGTGACTTAGCCCTCTTTCTGTCTATTTACATGTCCTATGCTTTTGATGTAGCCACATTGCTTTTCCTGTCCTCCAGTTTTCTCCTCATTGGAATGCTTGCAATGGTGCTTTTAGTATCTCCTCCTTTAGGAACTTACACCCATCTTGAGCTTCTACTATGGAAGCCTACTTATAATTGTTCTGAGTTTATTAAAATCTACTTTTTTTGAAGTCCAAGATTTGTGTTTGACTATCCTAAGTTTTAATTTCCCTTAAAATCAAGAACTACAGTTTCACATTGTCACTTTCCTCCAATACCCCTTCCATTTCTTCAGCTAAGTCTCCCATAAGTGTCTTGGTGAAGATCATGTCAGGGACACCTGATCCTCTTGTGCTATCCTCCATTCTGGAGCAAACAACAGGAAATGAACAATTTGTTCTCCTTATTTTAACTCAAATGTTCTGCAAATCATACTGCCCTTCTATACTAAGAGCTCAAGCTTCTCTAACTTATTTCTCATGTTCTGAGCATTAATACAAATCATTATTCTAGTTGACTACACCCCAGATGCAGTTACATCTATTTGCAGTTTTAGGGGTGGGGATGAAATTCTGTTTGGGTCAAATCCTTAACCAGAAACAAGTGGGGAGAGACAGTCCCATAAGTAAGCTTCTTTATGCGATACTCATTCTGTGATGCTATGGTTGTGGCTGATCTTTGCCATAGCATTTGTCCCCACATATAGCAGCAGGAAGGAATAACTTTAGGAACCCATCATCCTGTAATTCTGTTTTTTTCTCCTGAATCCTCAGAGCATTAGAGGGGATGTATTGAACTGATATGGATTGTTGTAATTTTATACGAATTTTGCTAAAATCTATGGTTCTAAATAAATGTCCATATACTGAAAGATACTCCTAAATGCTCGGAGCCTGCTTCAGCTGCAAGTGCTTGAAAATTGTTTCTAAATTCCAGCAGTGCAAGTCTTACCTTCTACATCTTTTTTCACCTGATTATTATTTTTACCCATGTACTTGTCCCTCTGTTTGTTTTCTTTGCTTGTGAAGGGTTGGTTCCATTGTCAGTTCCTGTTATAGAGAAACAGATTTGATCAGTTGTTCTTTCTTATCAATTTGTGACCACTCCACATTATTTGACTTTTTTTTAAAGACTGCTACAAACTTGCAGTTGCTGCAAGTTCATCCCAGGTTGTTTTCAGGCAGGAGGAGAAACATTCCAGAAGCATTGCAAGTCACAGTTGCAGGCTCCTGTCTGTTCGCCTCATTTTTTTCTTTTTGGAGCTCCATCAGTAAAAAGGTTTTATTTTTCTCTTGTTTCTTTCTCAGACATTCACATTATGAACTACAAATGCTTGATTTAGGAGGAAGAATGTTTAGGATTCCTATTAGTTTTCCCTATTCACTTGCTCCCTGAAACAGGCTGCCTTCTATTCCTTCTTATAGCCTCTGCTTACTCACTCCCCCACAGGGCAGTTAGGCACTCTTTGCAATCAGCAGCTGTTCAAGAGGTTACCTTTTCACACTTCACAACTCAGCACACAATCCCTCAGCATACATGGTTTTTTCAGTCATTCTTCTCTTTTCCTCCTGTAGAGCTCCACAGGCAAACTTTCTCTGTCCATTTAGTTGATAAGTACATGTGAGCTAATCTACCCCATTGCATTGATCACATGTTAATTACATTGATTCTCAATTTGCTTCTTGAGGTCAATTTAAAAAGTCAGTCTTAGGCCCTTTGAATCTTTACACACTCTGGCCAGGGTTATTGTAAGGACTGTCTTTGTCTATGTCACCCTGCCTGAGCCTTCATCTAGGATCAAGTTGGTGGACCCTGGGCCAAGCCTTCATTTTGGAGGTATTGGCAACTGCGGAACACAATTCTTTTTCTCTGTCTGTTTTCACTGTTTTACCATTGTTCAACTAGACTATTACACATTTATATGCTTGTACTTTTTTTTTAATTCTGTGAGTTGATGTAGAAAATGTTGGAATGCAGATGATTAAAATAAAAACATGGAAGGTAGGACTGGGAATAAATTGAGTCCTCTTTTGTTCTCTCCCATGTCTGCAGCCATTGTAACAGACGTCTTCCAGGGCTCCATGCGGATATTTACCAAAAAATTACCACACCCTGATCTGGTGAGTTGGGGGCCTAGTTGCATTTTTTGCATGAAAAAGAGAGTGCTTCCTCTGAAGTGAAAAAGATGAATGCTTGCCTTTGCTAGGACATTTAATTGAGTATCTCAGCTACTCACAAGCATGTTGGAAGTTGAATCCCACGCCTGTGCACTTGAATAC